AGAGGGGAGCAGTCATCTGAGGAATGTGGTTTTCAGAGTGACCCTGCAGATCCTGGATAGTCTGTATGTGGTGAGGCTGCCTCCAAGCGTAGTGCCTGCGGGTGGAATGCTCCCTGGCCTTTGAAGAAGGAAGTTGGTAAAGCCAGGGGGCTCTGCCACAGGCTGTGAGTGGAGGTGGCTGACAGAAGAAGGGGCAGGGCATGCTGCTGCACCAGCTCTGCTGGTATTTGCAGCGCTGGGAACTGCACCGCAGAGACATCCCAGGCTGCTCCCGATGCCTGTCACACAGCCGCTTAGATCTCTCCTGAACAGGCTGTCGTGGCAACGGTCTGTAGCAAAACTCCTTTCTTCTCCAGCCCTACTGAAGCTGGTCTGGTTGGGACAGTGCTGGAAACTTGTAAGAGTGCTACCCTTGGAGGTGTGGCGGGGTCCCTGTTAAGCTTCCCCACACCTAGATTCTCAGATTAAGCCACTTTGAGGAGATGTCTTTGGGCATGGGAAATAGGAACCCATTATCGTTAGCACAGCCTAAGTGAGTACGTGATCTGCTGTTGTTACAGGTGGGACAAGGGGGAGGAAGCTTTTCTTTCCTCTCCTTGTATTATAGAGGACTTTTTGGGGGTATATCTTAAATCTAGTGGGCTTCCTGTCCTGCTGTGGATTCCAGATAAGGGTTTGGGAACCTTTACCTTCTGTGGCTTAGAGTAATGGTCCCTATCCAAATTCTTCTGCTGCAAGATGTCTAGACTTCAAGGCCCGATTGTTGTGCACACAAAGCTGCTTTGTATCATCTGGCAAATGGGAGAGACTGGTATTATAATCCCAGTCACTCTGAGCATTCACAGCAGGATAAAGCATCCTTAAAGTAAACTGGAGTCGGCCTCCGTTCCCTGCCTGGCTCTGTGCTCTCTCTGTTCCTGTACCGCCTTCTGCTGCAGTTTCATCTCTGAGGAATCCCATCTCCAAGGAAACAACATCACAGAGCATTAATGTCAAAAAATCTAGGGATTTCCTCTTTTCTTAGCTGTGAACACCTGAAAATAAAAGAAACATTAGTGCAAGCTGAACAGACAAGGACTGGACAAGCTTCTCCTAAGCAGCAGAGTCCCTTTTTCCCAGCCCCCTGAACAGTGCGAGGCCTGTCTCACACAGTGATGCGTTCTGCTGAAAGTGCTCTTAATAAGGTCTCATTCAGGAACTGAGCAGAGCATAAAGTGTAATGTCTTCATTAAAAAGCCCACGTCTTCATTAGCCTGGCATTCCTTGGTGCACACCAGGCTTTGCTGCTGGGCATTTTGCCCTGGTGAGAGCAGGTTTCAGCTGTTGCCGCCTCCCCTTTCACGCCAGCACAAGCTGTGTGGGGTGACGGAGCGCAGGAGATGTGGGGAAAGGCCGGTTTTAGCTGTTTAGGGTTTGATCTAGGGCAGTGAACTGGGGCTGCAGGAAGGTTTGCCCTGCAGAGGAGGGAGAAGCAGCAGCGAGCAACACGCTTGGGGCTGCTGCAAGTTGATTCAAGCTGCTAAATATCCTTGCAGGATTGCTGGGGAGGTTGTGGAGATTGTGGAAGTACATTCCCAGAGTCAGAAGGGGTAGATGCTTTATCAGCAGAGCAATCAGTGCTGTTCAGATTGTTTTTAAGGCTTCAGGGCTGTTTATGGAAGATCTGTGCTGTAAGATGAGGGTGTTACACAGAGGGCACCCTGCCGTGAGTCCTTTCTGACAAGGGTGGAGGAAGTGTGTGACAGCTTGTGTTGGAGACCTGTATGAACCTGTTCAAGAAGTTCTCTGGAAAACTGAGAATTGCTGCTGCTGAAAGTGCTACTGGAGAGTTTCCAGTAATGAAGGTGGCAAGAGCCTTCTCCCGTTGAATAGGAACAGGCAGCGTTCTGCACTTGGAGGTAAACTGGCTGGCTGCTGTGAGCTGGGGCAGGGCAGTGGAGCAGAAAACTTGTCCTGCAGAATGCAGAGCAGATCTCTTCCAGCTGTGCTCCTCCCACCTCCACACACTGTGAACATCGAGTGGCCCAGCCACAGGGTGAGACTGATCTGGAGTTGCAGGTGCCTTTAAAGGTCTAATTTCATGGGATTCACTGAACTAGTGAAGTTTCTAATGTGTAAGACTGCTGGAAAGAAGAGCAAACTCAAAGGGTGAAATCAGAAAATCCTTTTACGTCTGCAGCTCGTTTGGTTGCCTCAGTGACCTGATCTGTAACTGAACACGTATGTCACATCCATTGTTCTGAACAGTTTATCCCTGAGTCTGAGCTGTCAGTTTGGAGGCCCAACAGGCAGATTCTTCCCAAGTGCCACTTGCAGAGGTCAGTGTTACTTGTACAGCACAGTATCTACGTCAGATTTGTACGTTGCCAGCAGTCCCATGGATGCCTGCAGCTCTGCTCTTACTCTTCCTGGGAAGCACTCACCTCTGTCTGTGTTGGCAGCTCCCATCAGCGCAGGCTGGTTGCATCAAGGGCAAGGTTTTTGGAGCCTTGTTTGTCACGGACCGTCTTTAGCTCCTCCATTTCATCTCTTCCATTGTCATAAGAGCGGGTGCTGAGCTGTGTGAGCAGCCCCTGGCAGCAAAGAGGACCTCTCTGCACAAGGTTGCTCCATTTCCAGCACTGAAATGATGGCAGGATGTGCACAAAGCAGCAGCTCATTAAAATTCTGTACAGAAGCTCCTCACTAATGACAAATTTCTGGTGGGAGAGATGTGTCTTGGTTTGGGGTCAGGCAAAGATGTGTATTTGGACAGTCACTATCCAGCCAGTAAGAGACTTCAGACCTCCAAAAGAACTTGGACCTTTGCTTTGTTTCACCAGAGTTTTGTGAGATGTGCTCTTCCCAGCTGTGCTGTGCAGGAGGAGTGAAGTGCAGAGACCCCCATCTTCTGCACAGTGGGCTCATCTGAAACCTGACGGCCAGGCAGTGAGCTGGAGCTGAGCTGGAGCCCACAAATTGCCTGTGGACATCAACTCCCTTCTCTCAGGGGCTCTGCTGCTTGGCCCTGCTGGTGTCCTTGTTGCCAGCGAGCTTTTCTCTTGTGCCAAGTGGAAGATGTGATGTTGGCACTTCAGGGTCAGCTTTTTGCTGAATCTGAAACATTTTCAAACTTTCGTGTTAAACTGAGGTTTAGCAAGTTGTTGTGGGTTTGTTTTTTGTTTTTTTTTTTTATCTTTAATGGTTTAAAACTCAAATTTGCAAGTGAGTTCCCCATGTTCTATTTTTGGTACCCTTAATTTCCTTTCTGGGGGTGAAGCGTTACACATCCTGTACTCTTTCTTCTGTACAGCTGAAGTGCTCTTGTAGCTACTCTGAGTTTACATACAGCACGTGCCACTAACAAATCCCAGGAGACTGAGCAAGGCTTTCAGCGCAGGCGTGCGGTGTTCCCCCCTCGGCAGCGCGCTGGGGAAGGCACAGTTTCACCCAAGCTCTCTGATTTAGGCTGGAATTTCTTCGTCTGGAGTCCATATTTCTTCTCTGTAGTTTTGAAAGTGCTGAGAGGGAAGAAATTGCCCTTGCAGTCCTATCAGAGAGAAATTCAGAGTGGTTCTTTTTAATCCTCCTGTTGGATACGTCAGCAAACACGTGACTACTGTCCTCAGAGCCTGAGGAACCATGAGAAGGAGTTGATGAGGCACATCATTTCTGATTCATAGCAAAAAACCAAAAAAAAGGTGAATTCTGTCCATTTACTAACTCTTACCTCAAGGAAAATAAAACAGTTGTTTAAAAACTCATTTCTTCTGCAAAAATCTATTTTATTTTCACAATATAGAAAGCATCACAACTGAACTTCTTGTGAAGGCATCTGTGCTTTATGTGTATGGTTCTAAAACGATGGGAAATCTTTCTAGATTTTATGCCTGGTTTCCCCCAGGCAGAACTTTCTGCTGGTGTTTTGCTGGTGTGCACGTAATGACGAGCTCTTTCTCATCTTCCAGAGATCTATCGTATTGTTTCCCAGAAGCAAATGTCTGACAGACGTGAAAACGATATGTCTCCAAGCAACAATGTGGTTCCCATTCACGTCCCTCCAACCACTGAAAACAAACCAAAGATGCAGTGCTGTCAGAATATATAGAGTTGTTCATTCTTTCCTAACAGGCTGTGTATATTCCCCAGGTCCAAGATTTAAATATATTTGTAATTCTCGTGGTTACTTTCTTGTGTTTAGTTCCTGCTTATTCCTTCTGAATTTCTCCATGTCTTAAACACTTTGATTTCAGTGTTTATCAATCTATTGCTTCTATGTGGCTGCAGTATTTTCCCAACACCGACTTGTCGGTTTTGGTTCAGTAAATTGTTTGGAACTGCTCTGATCCCTTCCCAACGCGATGCCCGCTGGTCAGAGCACAGGCACCTTCAGTGAGCACTTGAAGATGTTATTCTGCTCCATGCAAAACAGTTACTGTCGGGTTAACTAGGAAAATATCTCTGGCCAGGATAATCTTTCCTTGTCTTAAGGTGTTGCATACTGCATCTGCAGCTTGAGGAAATGCCCGTTGCTCTGAAGTGCAATTTTAATGTGAGTTCAATGTTTTCGGCTACATCTTCAGATTGTCAAGTTAAGGATTTTTTTTTTTTAATAGAATATTATGGGGGAGAAAAGAGAATTTATTGCAAACAAGCAGCAGGGTTCTTGCTACCTGTGAATGAGCCGTTGTGGTTTGGCACCTGCTGCAGAGGAGGTTGTGAGGTGAGGCTGGCCGGGGAGACGCTGGTGGGACTCTGTCTGAGGTGCCTCTTGTGAAGAAAGGAAAAGCACGAGCTGCAGAGCTGATGAAAGGTCACTTAACACTGGAACCTGCAGCATGTTTTTGTGCTGCCCGAGACTTGGCCTCCACAGTGCTGGTGGTATCAGGATTTGAGGATGCCTTTTTTTCTTTTGTGGTACACACACTTGAAGGGTGTTGTCACAGATAACATATCACATTTCTTAATACATGCCATGTATATTAATATACTCAACTGCTTGAGTTGATGAATCAGTAGCTTCCACAGTTGGGTCCTAGTTTTTATTCTGTTTTATCTGGTATTTTTAAATTATTCCAGTGGTTTAGTGTATGTTCTTAAACTAAAACATCTGGAGTAGTTTTCTTACTGGATGCCTTCCTTCTGTGGTCTGTGGCTCAGTCCCACTCACCTGCTCAATTAGCTTGTTCAGGGATCCATGAACTGTGCCTTCTGTCGCTGCACGCGCTGCGTCTCGCCCAGTACGCGCTGTTCCCAAACACCTCGTTCATAGGCACTGAATTCCCACAGTATTTAGAAGAACTGTTTGTTCTATAAATGCCCACAGTTATTTACACAATTATAGGGAAGTAATTGATTGTAGAGGATGTTTCTCAAACTCTGATATGACCCCACTTGGAACATCCAGATCTGGGTAGGCACTACCAGCTGCGTTTCGTACCCAACCTTTCTGTCTTGCGGTGCTCATGATGTGTAAGGCACACGGAAGGCATTGCTGTAGTCGGTCACTTTTTTTTTTTAAATCCATTTCTCCTCCTAGAATGAGTTCTGAAGATGCTATTCTGATCTGTTTGTAAATTACTTTGTATTTTATGCATGTACTGTACTTTTGATTTATTATTTTTTTAGATTGATTTAAAATATATTCATCCATGATTCTAATAAAGAATTACAGGGGACGACTCAGTGTGGTGTTGGGTGTACTTTTTGGGAGAACTGGGATTCAACCTGAAGGTTTTTAGTAACTGGAAGCTGGTAAGCTTCTTGCAACAGGCTGTGAGAAGATGCTGAAGTGGAAGTAGCCCCAGAGAAGGAATTGAAAGGGTCATGTAACATGGTTGCTGCGTTCGCTCAGAGCAGGCCTGCAGCTTTATGCGGCTGCTGAAGTTCCTAGCTGTGACAGTCTGAGCTTCAGGAAGCTTTTACACTCTGAAAAAGTCTGGGTTTGCTCTACTCGGACTTCTGAATGCCTCTTACAGACCTGTTGGGGTTTTTTCCAGGTTGCCACTTGTAAGAAAATCCTGTGGGACAGCAAACTACTGTCATCTGCAGAAAACGACTGAGGTTTTTGATCCTGTCTGGGGTGGTGAGCAGGAGCCTGTGTGTGCTGTCCCTGGCAGCCTCCTGCACCAGGCACTGGTCACCCACAGAGCTTGAGGCAGCAGTGGTGGCTCTGGGGACAAAGGTGATGTAGGGCCTCTTGGCGTTGCAGGAGAGGATGAGGTGTGAGACTGGCCCGTGCTTCCTGCGGGAGCTGTTCTCACAACCCTTTCTCTGGCCAGACTGGAGCGTATTTTGGAATTAACCAACTTGCTGGGGCAGCCAGGTTCTAAATCTGTCAGCTGGAAATGCAGGAGGAGTTTCACTTCGCTTCACATAAGCAGGCAGCTCGACTCAGCCATCACCTCAGCGTTGGATTTCGCGTGGTTTGATGCCAGGTGCTTCCTTCTGCAGCAAAGGCAAACGCAACGCAGCCTGTGGGCACACAAATTGCTGTCGGGAGCCGAGGCTGCAGCGTTGGCCCGTGTGCACGTGCTGCTTCCTTCGCCTCACAGCAAACAGCGCTGTGTTTAAGTCCTGGGCAGCTGGGACGTGGCTGCCTGTGCTGTTAGACAAAGTAAGAACTCAAAGTTGGGGTTTTTGGAGGTTTTTTTTGTTTGTTTTTTCCCCACCAGAACTTTAAAATTAATAATCATAATCCAGGCCTTAGACAGAAATGCTGTGCAAAGACTGGTTTTGTATTTATGAACTGCTGTGATGTGGGGCGTAGTGTTTTCATGCAATAGTTTGGAAAGTCTTCGGGAGCCATCGACTTCTAAAGCAGAAGTCAAACGGTGCGTGCACAGAGATGTCACAGATGTCACTTCTCGCCTAGTAAAGCCTTTGCCTCCTGATCTGGGGTTTTGTGCTGCTTTTTCCTGACTAAGCACAGCGGATCCCCACTGGCATCAGGCTCAGTGATGCTCCTGGGACAAGAAGGTTCTTCACAAAGTGCTTCAGGAGGGACAATGTGGGACATCATTCCGGCTGAACACTGACCCAGCGGGGTATTGTTCCTGTTCAGCTGCTGGTTAATCCTCCTCCTCTGTGTTCACATTACTTCTGGGCTGAAGTGGCTCTTCTTTGCTAGTAGGAGACAACTGATTATAACACATACAGCTTTTGGGCTTTAAATGAGATTTTGGAGTTTCTGGGAACTCTGTATAATGCTGCAAAATTGTCTTTCCTTGCCAAAAGCTTTTGCTGTCATTTACATATTTGAAAGTCCCGGCCTTAACAATTATGAAGCCGTTCAGCGAGCGTCAGTGGTTCTGGTGTTTGATGGAAGTGGAGGTTTTGACTCTGAAGCAGAAAGGACATGGAATTGTTCTGATTTAAAGACGTTTTTATTAAGCTAGAATTATGTATTCTATCAGTTCAAACCTGATGAATTTCCAGCTTTAAATAGCTTATTGAGTGTGGCTTGTCCAATAAGAAGATTACATGCCAGGCTTTAGTTAACAAGATTTTTAGAAATATGAAGCACAAATATTGAAGAAGCTTCAACACGTAGCAGTCTGCTGCACTGCCCGGGAGTCATTAATTCTGAAGGTGTTCCTGCTGCAAATCTGTTCTTGCAATTTATTGATTAGACTCCCCAGGAGCACCATCAAACCTGCTGAGACAGCTGCCACGTGTCCTGTCTCACGGCTGCTGGGTGCAGGAGGGTGACTCTGCTGGCCTGGATCCTCCAATGCCCACCTGAAGGTACAACCATGCGCTAGCGGCACCAAGCGCTGTCACCACACATGCTGAAACGGCACTGAGCGCTGTCACCACGTGTGCTGAAATGGCACTGAGCGCTGGCACACATGCTGAAATGCTTCGTGTGAAAATCAGAGACCTGGTGTTGGCACTCGCCCCAGATCACTCTGTGCAGGTGTGTGGGAACTTGTCCGGCCGGGTCTGAGCATCGCTGGGGTCTCTCGCTCAGACCCATGAAGGTGAAACTGCTGGGGAAGGAGAGCTACTGGAGGAGGTGTGAGAATCATAGAATGAATCATAGAATCCCAGACTGGTTTGGGTTGGAAGGGACCTTAAAGCTCATCCAGTTCCAACCCCCCTGCCATCAGCAGGGACACCTTCCACTAGACCAGGTTGCTCAAAGCCTCATCCAACCTGGCCTTCAACACTTCCAGGGAGGAGCAGCCACAGCTTCCTTGGGCAACCTGTTCCAGTGTCTGACCACCCTCACAGTGAACAACTTCTTCCTAATATCTCATCTAAACCTCCCCTCTTTCAGCTTAAACCCATTTCCCCTTGTTTTGTCATTAACTGCCCTTAGGAAAAGTCCTTCCCCAGCTTTCTTGTAGCCCCTTCAGGTACTGGGAGGCCGCTATAAGATCTCCCTGGAGCCTTCTCTTCTCCAGGCTGAACAGCCCCAACTCTCTCAGCCTGTCCTCACAGCAGAGCTGCTCCAGCCCTCGCATCATCCTGGTGGCCTCCTCTGGACTTGTTCTAGCTGCTCCAGGTCTCTCTTGTGATGGGGGCTCCAGAACTGGGCGCAGTATTCCAGGTGGGGCCTTACGAGAGCGGTGTAGAGGGGGAGAATCGCCTACAGGAAAGACACGTACGGTGCCAGTTATGTTTTGCTTTAAAGCTCTGTCTTACCATTAACTCCAAGTGACAGTGTGAATTACAGCACTGTGTTTGCTGAGAAATCCTGCAACTAATGGCTCCTAAGCCTGATGCCTGTGGGTTTTGTCGTTGAGGGGGAACAGCCCCTTCGTGACCAGCACCTGGAAAACTCTGACGTGAACGAGGGCTGTTGAGTTTTAGTCTGTAAATGAGTACGTTTGAGAAATACACATTGAGAGAAATTCAATTTATTTTGTACAAGGTAGAATACCATTGCACAGTGAACAAATATATTACAAATCTGTCTTGCCTTAAAAAAGTATTGCCATTTTGGTGCCTATTTCCTAAGCTAATGCTAATATACAAGAAGGTGCCTTTTTTGTTGGTTTTGTTTTTTCTCTCCTCTGAAGCTCTATGCACATCCTTGCATTTGGTTTGAAAATCCAGCTTTGAAAAAAGAAAAAAAGAAAGAAAGAAAAAAAAAAAGGAACTGAGCACATCTCTGCTCTCTGGAGTCTCATCGCAAACTTTACAGCAACACACATGCTGGTCAGGCCGGCAGCTGAG